TTTGATGTCCCAAAAACAGCTTCATTGGACTTGATTTATGTTTTGGGGTAAGCTCGAGGTTAAACATTTTGGGCAACTTTTGTTGGGTAGTGTAGGACCACCACCATCAATAGACTGTTATCTATTATAAGGTTGAAGTATTTGTATTGAGCGTAAGCAATGTGTTGAACCATATTTTCATATTTTGGCGTCCAAAAAACAGCTTTATTGGACTTTGTTAATTTCTTAACAACCACTTCACTTAGATGTTTCTACACAAATAACGGTCCTTGAAATATCCTGGTGGTAAGTGAGGAGGCAAATAAAATGACAGGCACTATATCAACGTTTCACTAGACATGTTTCTATCGATAGTTGCAGTATTATAATAACATACATAGGCGAGCTATATATGCTGTTCTCCGACAGCTCTTGTTAACGTGCGACGACTATGCATTCTGTTTTGGTCTATAGGAATAAATTCACACTATTGAAATACTTTTTGTCATATAAATTCTAAAGGTCATCATAAAATGTTAATATGCTGACAAAAAAATCATTTGAAGCGTAAGATACTGCAAAAGTCAAGCCTTGATCCGATTTTGGTTCTGACATTCGAAAAAACCGGAGACGCAGATCGGTGACTTCAGAGCGTTCTATAAGCCCCGGGTGCTAATTTCGTTTGTAAGAACACTCATCGTTATTCTTCCTTTGATACAACCATAAATGAATATAATTCCTCCTCAGATTTTTCAATGATTTAATAAAATGATGGTTTGGTGATCCGATTTGGGTACTGTCATCTTGGACAACAAACTTGTTAGAACTGAATCTTTACGAAATCTACATATTAACAAACATATTCATGAATCAACTACTTTCGTCAGACACTATTCTAAGATGTAACGTCACCATAGTCTTCAACACAGTTAAAGCCTTCAAATATTTTGACAAGAAGAGGTATACGAAGGGAAAAGTTATATTTATTAGTCAAAACAGTTATGAAATATCTTGTAACACAACGAATCTTAAAAAAATTGTCTGTGCGACGGACATCTCGTCAACTAAACTCGTTAATCTGAGGCCTGTTGGTTGTTATTTAGTGTAAATGCATCACATACAAATCGAATCAAACCCATATTTCAACGCTAATTGCAGCTAATGGTCGACAGAGCCGCCAATGCAAGTAAATTGTTTTCCTGCAAGTGTACGTTGGTACATACAACGTACTGACGATCCAATTCTTGTTTATGGAAATGACGCTCGGAAAGGTCCGCGATTTTGATCATTCATTTACAATTTCCATGCAATTTGTATTTAGAATACAATCAACCTGTATCTTTTTAAAAGTATTGTTTGCGTCTTACATTCAGCCATCTTACAACACTTAAGTTAATATTACATCTAGAAATTTTCCAGATTTAAATCTGAAAAGAATTTGTTGTCGGGCTGAAAGTATATTACTGTAGACCGACAACCAGAGACGTGTAATATTTACTTCGTCCCTGCGACAACTTAAGTTCTATAGCGTTGTTACCCAAGACTGATTTTTACATGAAAAAAGTAAGTGCATTTACTACACCTGGCCGGGCAGTCTTTGTTGAATAAGTTTTCCAAGCCCAAACAATCGTTTTAATTTGTCAGATGTTTCCCGTTGACGTGTAAGACGATCGGAGAGGTACACGTGACAAATTATCCAAAAGTCGGGGGTGGGGGGGACGATAGTTGAAAGCCCTGGACCCTGTCATTCGGACCTGATGAAAAATATAATTTTGGGAACAGATTTAGAAGATTATATTTGTTCAGGACTGAGTCTTTATTGCGTATCATGTAAATTGACATCATCTCGGCCGATACCAGCCATCTTTCTCAAACAGCATTAGGCCTAATCAGTTTCTTCATTAAAGTTACCGAAAATTAACTATCACATATGGCAAGCCAAGCTGTCATTTATTCATGGAGCAATGTTGATCCAGTACTTAACCACATTATATAAGATATATTATATATTATATAAGATATCTTATAAATTATATAAGATATCTTATAGACATATAAGATATATATCTTATTTAAAGTTTATGAGATATCTTATATCTTTTATCTTATATAATATATAAGATATCTTATAAAAGATATAAGATATGTAGATATCTTTTAAAGAAAAGTTTATGAGATATCTTATAAAGAACGAGACTGACAAAGAAGAAATGTTTAAAAATGACTGCTCCCGTTGTAAGGTCACATCCGTTTCCGTTGGCGATAATTTGGTTAAGTACTGGATCAAAATTGCTCCATGAATAAATGACAAAAAACTTGGCTAGCTATAATTATATGTAGTTTCAATTTGATAACTGGTCCCATTGTCATCGGCTGCCATTTTCGATCAAATCCTATCGGACACCCTCGGTTATCGATAGGTTCCGAGCGCTGTGGGGGAGGGTTTATTATCTGAAATTCAAATCTCGTTCTTTATAAGATATCTTATAACCGAATTATATAAGATATCTCATTTAATTTTGTTCATAAGATATCTGATAAAAGATATAAGATTTTAATATTTTTTTAAGATATCTTCTATCTTTTATGAGATATCTTATATAATATATATATATAACAAATAAGATATCTTATAAAGAAAAGTATATAAGATATCTTATAACGTATATAATTAGATATCTCATAAAGTATATAAGATATCTTATATAATAAATGAGATATCTTATATATTATATACGATAAAAGATATAAGATATCTCATAAACTTTAAATAAGGTATCTTATATATGTTTAAAAGATATCTTATATAATAAATGAGATATCTTATATATTATATACGATAAAAGATATAAGATATCTGATAAACTTTAAATAAGCTATCTTATATGTTTATAAGATATCTTATATAATTTATAAGATATCTTATGTAATTTATAATATATATTAACATTGCTCCATGAATAAATTACAACTTGGCTTGCCCTAATCACAACTAACTAAGAAAAGCCATGTGTTTCAATGTTGACAATTGTTACACACACACACACATTTGGAGCTGTTCGTATCAGTACGACTTGTGTAACATAAACATACAAATTTTTACAATTAATACTTGCAAATTGATATTTTGTTTGAAGGTGGCGAAACTGCCTACACCTTTGAGCAAAACCACGGAAGGCCTGATGACGTCACAAATGTTGCTGAGTGACGTCATTCAGGCTTGTTTACAACAATGTTTATTTCTGTACTGCATGGTGCTTTTCGGCATTTTGATACGTACGTTTTTGGACGAATAATAAACCTTAACCCTTACTTATATGACGAGTTTGCCTGAGCTAACGTTACAGGAATATAAGAAGTTTGGTGAATGTAGGGGAAATAACCAAGAAAACACTGCAGGTCTTTCCGCCCTAAATTCGAGTCGCACAAGGCTGTTTTGCCCTAATATAAATATATTTTTTTATGTTATAAACATCCGAAACACCATGATTTAAGCTGATAATTTTGTAAATTTCCACGTGGTATACAGTGGAATGCTCCGCACCTGGAACAAAAATGTCTGCTCATGTGGTATCTGCACACACCATATAGTGTGAGTTGTCCCCCTTTGGAATCTACCTACATGTTTTATACTACAACTAATTTCACTGCTGCTTGTGTTATTTAATTTAATATACTCAGTAATACACTTATTATATAATTGATATTTATTTTAGATTTTAGCTCCATTATTTAAAAGATCATTACTTTTTTACAATATCATAATTATAGCTGTTTCTATTTATGGCGTCATTGTCTCTTTTTAATTCACACTATATTAGTGTATATCCTGTAATGTTTTACACTTTGCTACATTAGCATATATGTACATTACACTAGTATAGTGTCTTAACTTGTCTTTCGTAACACTTGTGTGACTTTCAAGTGTGATATCATATGCTCTACTGTATAATTTTAGCATATCTAATTTGAATTGTTGTCCTGTTTTTATATTTATTCATAAGTACTGTGATCCTTGTTAAATTTTATATGTTTTGTCGCAAGAATAGCACTACAGTGCTAATGTTATTATGTTACATGTATATGCGACGTTAAATAAAGCTTCTTGAAAGATCTATCAGAAGAGAAGCTTGTAACGTACTTATTTCCTTCTAATTCTTGTTTCCAATCTTCAATCATTTTTCTAATATAGTTTGACATAAAATGGACTATAACGGGTAGACTAGGAGCTAGAGCATACAACAGTGACTTGATTACGTGTGCTCGCTTTTATTTGTAAGGAAAATGTCAGAAGTCATTTTACGGTCTAATGACAAAAAGAATAAGGAAGGCAAAGGAAGATTTAAACTGAGACTTATTAGCCATACACAACTAAACAGGCCTAAAAGGTTCCGCCCTAAAATTATGCTTAGAGCGGATTGGGCGAGTGGTTAACACTCCGGCCTTCCAAGCAGGCGGCCGGGGTTCGATCCCCGAAGTCGCCGTACGCATGGAATATCCAGAGAAAGTGTTTTTCTCCTGCCCACACAACTCCAACAACCCAGGTGGAGTATAAAGTGACACTATAAATGATACCGTTGGAAGCACGGTCCCACTTCAAACAGAACACAATACATCTCCAGCACACATACAGGCATACACACATAGGGAGAGATTAGCCAGGTGGCATAGAACTAGTAGTTAGCGCCTGATAAGGCAGCTCCTGCGAATTCCTCAATATTGTATTGACTGTATAAAATTGTATATATATGTACTGTAAAGCTGTTTGGAGTGGCTTATGTTAGCTAGATAGGGCGCTATATTAAATGTTGTATATTTTTATTTATTTTATTTAATGGCGAAATAAATACCTTTGCGGAAAACAACGTTAGAGAAATTAACAACATTCATTAAAATCTGCTGAAAAGGAACTATTTCTTCATGATTTGCGAAAACGCTGTAGTCAACATTCATGCCTGAAACAATTCCGTCTGTACTACCTTAATGTGAAAAGTTTCATTAATCGAACGCGCCGCATTTTCTAAGGGAGGTAAGCTTACAGAGAAAATGGCCGCCGCTGTGAATGTGAACTACTCTTTGTTGAGAAAATGGTAAAGTAATGGTTCATTTGATACAGTTGTATGCGCAAAAACAGCCAATGTCACATTGATGGAGACAATTTTCAACAGACGTAAAACTGATACTGAATGACTTGTTGTCATGAAACGTTGCTGACATTACTGTCGGGGATCATAGGAGTCTTATATCTGTATATTGTAAATTGTGAAATACATGGTAATGAATCTATTCGAGTGATAGCAAATGCGGTGTGCACTCAAACTTTAAATAAAGTAATTACGTGATTGGTTTTATTATGCATGTTCTCAAGAGCTCAAGAGTTCGATTCTCATTGTAGAATAAGACAGAATATATATGGGTTTGGATCATTTCGTTGGGGTCGTTTTGCCATAACATATTTAAATCTTAATCTTCCTTGTACCAGGAAAGAGAGAATTGTGCTACCACCGCGGATCAAACCATCGACCTCCAGCTTCCCAGAATCATAGTACTTTCAATAACAGGTTTTTCCGGTACCTGAAATTTGGACGTTGTGGTACTTTTTTTTTTATAAAGATGGGGAAAATGCTGAAGAATCAGAAAAAAATGTGAAATAATGAAATTTGGACGTTGTGGTACTTTTTTTCTTATAAAGATGGGGAAAATGCTGAAGAATCAGAAAAAAATGTGAAATAAACAACACACTTGATACAAAAAGTAAAGGAAAACAAAGTTTAATGTATGGCCAAATTACGAAAAAAGTAAAAACAATTTTTAGATAGTACCTACATATGTCTTAAATTTACAAAGTACCAAAACATCTCATCAATGAAACAACCATCTTATGTATCAAATTGTCTGTTCCTCGCTTCCAAGTGATTCCGCTACTGATAGAGCTAAAGGGAAGCTGAATCACTATGTTGTCGGGGGG